ATGAGGTCTCGCTGCCCAGGCGGGTCTTGAACCCGCGGGCTCAGGCAATCCACTCACCTCAGCCTCCCAAAGGTGCGAGTTCAGGCTGAGCCACCGAGCCCGATGCAAGACTGCTATTAAAGTCTCACTTCTGGCTGAGTTCAGTGACTCAGCCTGTAATGTCAGCACTTTGGGAGGCCTAGGTGAGTGGATTTCCTGAGCCCACAGAGTTCAAGACCACCCTGGGCATCATGGCAAGGCCTTGTCTCTACAATAAATAAAAATTTAGAGCCGGGCTGAGCCACTGAGTCCGGCTTTTTTTTTTTCCCAGAGATCAAATTCACTTTGTCAGATTTCTTTTTTTTTTTTTTACCTTTAATTTTTTTATCTTAAAATTGTATGGTACAATTCAGGGTTAGGTATGCAAATATTCTATGTGCAGGTGGTGAGGTGTGTCCCCAATTCCTGCTTTCTAAAAAAGCAACGTTTGTTGGCCGTTTGTAGATCTTGGTAGAAGTGAATATTCTTTTCTGTGTCCAGTTTTTGATTTATGTCATTCAATTTCTATTGAGTTTTAGGAGGTTTTTTTTTTTTTATGTATTCTGAATTTAACTCACCAAATATGTAATCTGGAAATATTTTCTCTCATTCTGTAGGAGTCACATTTGCTCCACTGAATGTTTCCCATTGTGTGAAGGTTGTTTACTTTGATTCATTAGTCCCATTGTACCTTTTTTGTTGTTGTTGCTAATGCTTTTGATGCCAGATCTAAGGAAGTATTGCCAAGATCAGTATCTTAATCTCCATCCTATATTTGATTCTAATATCTTTATACTTTGTACATTTGTCTTTTATCACTTTAGATAGTTTTTTGTATGATGGAAGAGTCCTTTTTATTATTTTCCTTTGTCTACTTCCAGTTGTACAACATTGCTTGCTAAATAATTTGTTTTTGTTCCTCAATGTTATTAATATCAACCTCTTTGAAGGTCATTTAATTATATGCAGAAGGGTTTATTTTGAAATTTTCTATTCTGTTTCAATATCTATTTATTCTTCTATTCCAGTACCACTTTGTCTTACTG